GAATGGGCCGCGGCGCCTTGCAGAACAGCAGCTTCAGTGGCATGGCCGTCCTGCAGCGCCTAATGCTGTCCGACAGCCACGTTTCGGCCATTGCTCCCGGCACTTTCAACGACCTGATAAAACTTAAAACCCTGAGGTTATCGCACAACAAGATCACTCATCTTCCAGGCGCGCTGTTGGATAAGCTGGTGCTCTTGGAACAGTTGTTTCTGGACGGCAATGAACTAAAGAGCCTTGACCAAAACATGTTTCAGAAACTGGTTAACCTGCAGGAGCTCTTTTTGAACCAAAACCAACTCGCTTTCCTCCCTGCTAGCCTCTTCACACACCTGGGGAACCTGAAATTGTTGGATTTATCGGGAAATAATTTGACCCACCTGCCCGAGGGATTGTTTGGGGTCCAGGTTAAGCTTGAGAAGCTTCTGCTCCACTCGAACCAGCTCGTGTCTCTGGATTCGGGGCTGTTGGATAGCCTGCGCGCCCTGATGGAGCTGCAGCTGGACAGAAATCACATCCGTTCCGTCGCACCCGGCGCCTTCGACCGTCTGCGAAGCCTGAGCTCTTTGACTCTTTCCAGAAACCGCCTCGAGTTTCTGCCCTCTGCCCTCTTTCTTCATTCGCACAATTTGACCTTCCTGACCCTGTTCGAGAACCCGCTGGAGGAACTCCCCGAGGTGCTCTTCGGGGTGATGGGCGGCCTGCGGGAGCTGTGGCTGAACGCCACCCAGCTGCGCACCCTGCCTGCCGCCGCCTTCCGCAACCTGAGCGGCCTGCGGGTCCTGGGGGTGACGCTGAGCCCGCGGCTGAGAGCGATCCCGGAGGACGCCTTTCGGGGCCTCGGCGAGCTGCGGGTGCTCGCCCTGCGCTCCACCGGCCTGGCTTCCCTCCCCGTCGGCTTGCTGCGCGGCCTCGGCGGGCTGCGCCACTTGTCGCTGAGCCGCAACCGGCTGCGGACCCTGCCCCGCGAGCTCTTCCGCAACCTCAGCAGCCTGGAGGAGGTCCAGCTTGACCACAACCAGCTGGAGACACTGCCCCGAGACGTATTTGAGGCTCTGCCCCGGCTGGCGAAGGTCCTGCTGGGGCACAATCCCTGGCGCTGCGACTGTGGCCTGGGGCCGTTCCTGGCGTGGCTGCGGCGGCACGCGGGCCTCGTGGGTCGAGCCGAGCCCCCACTGTGTCACGGCCCCGGGCCGCACGTCGGCCTGCCGCTCTGGGCCCTGCCCCTCGGCGACCCCGGCTGCCCGCGCCCCGGGAGCCCGCCTT